TCCTTTTATCCTTTCTACACGATTGTCTACAAGCATTAATTTTCTTCTCACACTATCACCTCTATGTTACTCTAAGACACATGATCAATGCACTGATTCACAAAACAGATTCTGCTGGATGGCTTAACATGGGATGTCACTCACTGGTCCCTTCAGAACGCATCCAAACAATATCCATACTCTCCTGCGTATTTTTGGTCAAAAAGTTTTGAGCTACTTCCCTAACTCTCAATATTTCCTGGTGCTTACCCCCTATTGCGTGACAAGTTATCGTCAGTATGAACTGAAGGTGGCTGTCGATAGATGTCTACAATGATCTGTTGAAAATGCTTTCTGTGACATGCATGCCAAGTGTTTCGAACATGTAGAAGAGGTGGTGAGCGCCTTGACTTTAGTGTTCAGAAATCCGATTTTTTTTCGTCGTTTTGAGCACCGTAGATTTTTGCACTCATTTCATAATAACTGAGATTTGTCTTATATACGTTCTAGCCAAGTTCACTTTTAACGCCTGGAGAAGATTTGAGCACTGAGTACGGGAGAGTCACTATTATAAAATATATTCTCGTATTTTCCAATGAATAAAAAACAAAACGATATTATTAGTGTTTCTGCTGACATTTCGCTATTTAACTCCATTATGGATGAGATTTTAATTTGGTAAATCAGTTATATTAACTGATGACGTTTCGAGCACAAACTATTGCTCATAATCATATTAAGTTATTACCGCCGGTCAAATCAGAAGAGGATAATAAGTAATCTCAAATTGTATTCTGTTTCAATCCACATACATCACAACATTCTAACAAGTTATTTATTTTAACTATAAAAGCACTCGTCTTATTTCCCATCTGATTGTACTTGGTTGAGTGATAACACTAATATTATAATTTCTGAATGAACATTATCATATACTGATCAGTTAATATAACTGTACAACACTGTGTGATTTATCAAAATAAAATCTTATCCATAATGGAGTTATACTCTACCGCAGTGCCCAAGTTTTAAACTTATATCAATGTTTCGCTACCTAATGCTAATATTTTTATCAGAGTAGTGATATTGAACCAGAATTTGTAAAGTCCACTCAGCTTATATATAACAACTTAATCATCGTTCGTCAGCATGGGGCATTTTTGCTTTGTCAAACTGTGCGTCGGTGGCACAATGGTTAGAACTCTCGCCGACCATGCACATGGTCCGAGGTTCGTCCCGCCGCCGACGCACATCTGATATCAATGGCCGGCCTGCAAAACTTAGGCTACCGATATCCATGCTGAAAATTCCATACTTGTACCAAAAATACAGTGTAATCAAAAATCAAAGATAACAAAACCAAGTGTAGACTGCCGAATTTGATAAATATATAAAATTATAAAAACAGGGTGTGTTTACACAATGAAATCGCTTATAATATTCGTGTTGATATTGTCATTTTATGAGGGAGGGGCGGGGTTTTGCAACCAGGTTAAATTCTGCTTAAGTCCGTTATTCCTATTCAGAGAATTTGGTTCCAATTTCACATGAACTGCTTCGACATCATAGTTTCTTTGTGATTTTAAGCAGCTATTAGCAGTAAATAACGAAACTTTTAAAAAAACGACCTCGTTTTCAAAAGATTGATTAGTTAACCAAGAATATTCTTTTCGGTAACCTCTTCTTTATTAGTTTCTGCAGTTACATATACATCCATAATATTGAAACAATGATTACCTTTGACAACACTAATGATTTTTAAAGAGTGACATCGAAACATTCAGATCAGAATTCGGAAAGTTATTTGCAATAAGATTGTTAGTAGGTTATAATCCAAAACATGTCTGTGTATGTGATAATATGAAAAACTGTACGTATAATACTAAATTGAACACCAGTAGTATGAAGTGAGAGGTAATCAAGCAAGTCTTGGATGAAAGACTTCGACTGGGACAGGCTGGATTCAGAAGAAACAAGTCATGTATAGATCAAATCTCCACACTACGGACCATCATTAAACAAAGCTTGGAATGGCAGTCACCTCTCTATCTCAACTTCATCGAATTTGAAAAGGACTTAGATAGCGAAGCGTCGATCGAGAAGTGATTTGGCAACTATTTCGCTACCACGTGGGGCCATCGACAATTATACATCTCATCCAAAAGTTGAACGACAATGTTGCATTCCAGTAATCCACAAAGGGAAACTTACGGAAGCCTTCGAAGTGAGGACGGAAGTGAGGCAAGGCTGTCTACAATCGCCAATAATCTTCCTGATTGCAGTAGATTGGATAATGCGACAGACAACGGGCAATGAAGAAACAGGTATAAAATGGACTTCGCCGATGATATATGTTTGATTTCCCACAAACTGGAAGATATGCAAGTGAAAAGCAGCAAGCTGGCAGAAGAAGCATCAAAGATAGGACTTACTTCAGGTGAACATAGATAAAACAGAGGTGATGAAGATTCCTGGCCAACACCAACAGCAACAACTACAGGCAACAATCAGCATGAATGGGAGGAAACTGCAAGTAACAAAATCCTTCACCTACCTGTGAAGCATCGTTTCAACTACAGGCTGATGGAGCTGACGAGGATATCAAAGCCAAAATCGGAAAAGCAAGAGCTTTCATTACTCTCATCAAGTCTGTGTTGAGGTCAACAGCACTCAGCATCAAAACCAAGATCCGGATTTTCAACTCCAATGTGAAGTCAGTGCTACTATACGGATCAGAGACTTGCACTGTGCGTCATGAAGAGCATCTCAAACAAACTTCAGACCTTCATTAACAGTTGTCTTCGCTCAATACTCAAGATCAGATAGGCGGCCAGAAAGATCAGCAACATGGATCTCTGGCAATGAGCGAACCAACCAGGAACCAATTGTAAAACAAATAGGCAGGAAGAAATGGAGATGGACTGGCCATACTCTGAGGAAAGAAACCATCAAGTGACATCACTAGACAAGCCATCGCTCGAGTTGGACCCGAAAGGGAAGCGGCGAGTTGGTCGTCAGTGCAAGGGTAACTTGAAGGAGGTCATGTGAAGAGGAGATGAAAGCATGTGGACAGACTTGGAGCGGTGTGAAAAAGTTGGCAGAAAACCGAAGGCAACGGAGACGCGCGGCTAAAGCCCTATGTTCCTCTAGGAATTAAAGGATATATAATAATAATAAATAATAATAATTACGAAGTGAATGACTATGCATGTCAATGAATGTGTTGTAATAAATTCTCATGAGTCATGTTCATATTGATTTTACACTTCAGATGGATGAGTTATCATGTCAAGGTCGGAGGGAGAGAAATAAAGAAACTTGGAGTGGACTGTTATGTGCGTTGTATGTATGTGCCAGTGTGTGAGTTACTGGCTACGTTTAAATAAGAAAAGAATAGGTTAGTGAATGCAAGTGTAATAATTACAAAAATAAGAGGTAAGGGAATTTCTGTGTATAGGATAGAAGGCCATATGCTGTAGTCAGAAAAATGATAAACGAAATTGGAAAATTATAATTTTCCATGGCTCACAGGGAGGTGGAGCGAAGTAATCCGGTCTATACATTCATATAAATTCATGTATAAATCTCTTCTGGACACACAGTTTCGCCTTCTTCATGTGGATTCCTATGGCTTCAGCTCTATGTAGTAGACGAACTCGTAATGCAACATTAAGATTAGTAGGAATGCGATAAGTAATTTTAAATGTTGTATTAACATCAACTTTATGCTCACTATCTACAAGGTGTGCTAAAACAGAGCTGAGAATAGATTTTGTTCGTCCCTTGCTTAACCACTATGCAGGATGATGTTCGGAAATACAATGATGTACATGCCTAATTGTACGTCCAATGTAGCTGGCGGCGCAGCTACAACCAGACTTGTAGATACACAAGAAGGAGGCAAATTTAGGTAGTTTATCCTTAATTCTCGAAAGTGAATTAGGGGCTATAGTGAAGAGACAGCATACTTCTGTTACATAATAAACTATTTTAACTGCATTCTTCAGCCACCGTGTTTCTATTTCTCCAATGCTGTCACCGAAGAACTGCAGTTTTATGAATAATTCGTTTTTCGTAGCTGTTGTTACATTGACTCTCCTTTGTGCTGAATTTATATTTTTCCAGGTGGACTTATCTGGATAACCACTCTTACTAAGTAATTCTCTAGTAATCTTAAGCTCCTCATTGAGGCAGTCGTCTGAACACATTAACGTAGCTCCATGAACCAGACACTTTACCAGATTACGTTTATATTTCAAAGATACAAAATGTGTTGTTGTAGGTTTCCTATACACACTCCTTCTCAGTGTGTCATCTTCATTCCTTGCCAGAAAGAAGTCTAGAAATGAGATGCTGTCATTAATTTCTTCCTCTATGTTAATGTTTATTGCTGAATGAGCATCATCAGACTTGTCGAGGACGTTCATTGCTTCATCCTCCTTTTTCATAACTAGAGATGTATCGCCCATCTATCGAACGTAGAATTCCAACTCACTAAAAACTCCTCTTAGTGGTCCATTCTCTAACTTACTGGTTATCCTACAGCCTTTTATTTATATTCTACTCAGCAGACGTACTTAAATGCTTTTAAATGATGATAGTGACGATGATGATGATGATGATGGTGGCTATTAATGAACAGAGTGACATTCAGAAGAACAAAAAAAAAGATGTGTGATTCAACATAAAGACTCTATTCAGCAAACTTATTGTCAAGTTGAACAATCGTGTTTATGTGTTTGTTTGAAAAAAGGGTAAATTTTTCGAGTACCATCAACTCTTAATACTCTGAGTACAATCCATTCTGTTACTATCCTTTCACTTTACATTAACTGATTTGTAACTTTTCCACCGAAATATTTATTTCAATTTCCAAATAAATATCGAAAAACTGTATATGTAAGCTTTATTACTTATACAGATAATATGTACACATCAAAGTATGCGTGTAGGATCAAAGCAAAAATACAATCAACAGTCAGTTTATTTCACCATTCGGTTGATGAAAGAAGAAGTAATAATTATCGACGCATGAGTAGTTTCAGTAAATCACTTAGCTGAAAGCTACTTGATTCGTAATAACGTCTTGGGAATAATACTTCACGAAGATTATCAGTATTCAGTAAACAACTTCGTAACCATTTGTAAACAGCTAAACTAAAATAAACACGGAAACATATAAATGATATTTATTCAATATATTGAAAATATATAGAATAAAAACAGCGTTGCATAGATGAACACTGTGCTTAGTCACATTTCTCAAACAAATCTTTCAGTAGAGCAAAAAATTCATTCAAAAATCTTTAAAACACAAAATGATTGAGCGAAGAATAGCCTTTTCGATAAATTCCTCTTCTGGCTCTGCAATTATATATACGCTTATGTACATAGAATATTCTAGAATAGTAGTCAATAACAATATCAGTGTTTCGTTCAAATAATATCGATTGGTAAATTGAGATCAATGAAACTACAGTTCACTAAAGTTGCTTAAATTATAATAATAATAATAATAATAGTAAAATAGCATATACAATATCAACTAAGATTAGGAAAATTCCACAAAAATTCGGGATCATTCAAGCCTAGATGGTCAAGGTAAGGATAATGTCTGAACTAACTTCTTTCTGATGCACAAATTAGGCTTGTTAAGATGGATCGAACCCTTAAGGTGAAATTGAGATTCGTAGGTGTGCACAAGATTGATGTCAACCATGCTTTCAGGGTCATTTAGCGCCTACCAACAAATCTCAATCTCACCTTAAGAGTTCGACTACTAAATATTGCTAAGGCTGTTGGGATCCATATTAACAAGCCTAATTTGTGCATCAGAAAGAAGTTAGTTCAGACATTATCCTTACCTTGACCATCTAGGCTTGAATGATCCCGAATTTTTGTGGAATTTTCCTAATCTTAGTTGATATTGTATATGCTATTTTACTATTACTATTATTATTATTATTATAATTTAAGCAACTTTAGTGAACTGTAGTTTCATTGATCTCAATTTACCAATCGATATTATTTGAACGAAACACTGATATTGTTATTGACTACTATTCTAGAATATTCTATGTACATAAGCGTATATATAATTGCAGAGCCAGAAGAGGAATTTATCGAAAAGGCTATTCTTCGCTCAATCATTTTGTGTTTTATAAATCTTTCAGTTTCAGTGAAATAGTTAACAAGTTACAGGTAGAAATAAAACAATGGATAAATTCGGCAAAGTATTTGGCTAGTCTGTGCATGTTAAAACTCTCCCAAAAGAGTTATTTTGATGTGACACTAGGGAGTTCCCATTGTTATGCGTCAAGTCTTTGGTGTTGGTGCAAACTGAATTCTTTCAGTCTAATTTGCAATGTGGCTGGTCACCATCTTAATAATCTTTGAATTGATATTAGATATCTTGAGACAATCTACAGGAAGCCCTGAAACCAAATTAAGTCATTGATGGCACGGTTCAAGAAGGCGCATTGGCTACTTTTTTATCATATTGTATTTATCATAACCCTTTAAGACGTTAATCGTGAAACGGAACAGCTCACTGGTAACTAATCTGACTGGATCACTGAGTGATGCTGGACAACGGACATGTGGTTCAAATCCCGGGAGCGGTAATGAGTTAGTTCAAGTTCGAATGCAGTAAGGCATACAACATTGGTTCACATCTTCATCCTGATTGTTTCAAATCATCTTTCATCAAGACTGCTAACAATGACTAATATTCAACTTATTTATTGCTCAAGGCTCAAAATTACAGATAATAGGAGGGTTTTACAGATCATATTTCTCGTGTAGTCGCTATTTAATTCAGTTTTATGTAGATTATTTATTATTATTCCATTGGGTTCCAAGTGGAAAATAGGGTTTCAACAGCACTACTTCACTTTGTTCTGTTTTCTGTCGTCCTCTTCAGCTGAGTCCACGAGTGGCCAAACTCTGTCATCTCTTCCTCACACGATTTTCTCCACGTCACCCTATGACGACCTATTCATCGTTTCTCACTTGGATTCTACTCGAGGACCTGGCGTGCGGTGTCAGTCGGCGGCCTTCTTAATGCATGCCTGGTCCATCTCCACTTTCTCCCACATATTTGTTGAGGGATCGACTCTTGGTTGGTTTGTTCCCACAGTTTCTTGTTGCTTATTCTTTCTGGCCCTTTGATATTTACTGTGGAGCCAGCCAGCCAGCGAAGAGGGCAGCTGTTTATAAAGGTATGCACTAGCCTGTTAGAAATATTTTTCGTGACACGCCAAGTTTCTGACCAATATAGAAGAACCAACTTCATACTGGTGTTCAAAAAATGCGAATCTTGTTCCTTATGTTGCGTGCGTGAGATTTCAAAACTGGTTTCAGGTTATTGAAGGCGTATCTTGCCTTTCGGATTCTGACTTTGACACCTTCGTTCACTCCGTCTGTAGTTGAAACGATGCTTCCCAGATAAGTGAAGGAGGCAACCTCTGTCAAAGCTATCCCATTGATGGTGATTGGTATCGGTTGTTGTTGCTGTAGATTGGTTATCTTCATCACCTCCGTTTTGTCTATGTACACTTGTAATCCTCTCTTCGCTGTTCCGCTTCTTCAGCCAGTTTGTTGGTTTTCGCTTGCAAGTGTTCGAGTTTGTGCGGCATTTGACATATATCATCTGTGAGATCCGGATCTTCCAGAGTCTTCTTTACGGTGGCCCAGCGTATTCCTGACCCCTCGCCCCCGACAGTCTGACGCATAATCCAGTCCACCACAATTAGGAATATCATCGGTGATATAGGCAGCCAGCTTGTCTTACTCCTGTACGCACTTCGAACGCCTCGCTGAGTTTTCCGCTGTCGATCATCTGACTGAGCATTATTCATTACGCTCCGAGCCTACTGTCAACTGACATCATTTAAAATTTGCAAGTATATTTCAACTGTTTCTGTACATAAATTTAACAATAATGTATTCAGGCTATAAGGAGCATCTGATGAGAAGTCAATGAAATAAACAATGATGGTACCATCTTCTTATTCTGCACAAACCACTGTTGTTCTTGCTTTATTCAAATTCATAATTATTTACTAAACTTACTATAAATCAAACCAGAATTCCCTGTATAATAGAAATAAATGTGTACATGATGAAATTAGACTATGCTTCACATGTTTTGAACAATAGTTTGTATAAAAAAAGTAGTAGTATATCAATTAATATAGATTAATTCATTCTCCCTACTGAATGTACTTCATACTTATGAATAATTTCCAGCCAGATATTAATGAAAAAAAACAACAAACACGTAGTTCAGCGAAGAGTCTCTTTTCGGTGGGGAATTCACTCACTTCCTTGTACAATCGCAATTAGATATACTCATCTTTGAATGTCAGTTTACACTAGCTTAGTCCGATAGAAATAAAAATTAGCTAGGGTTATTGTTGTCAAGACATTTCGGAAGTATAATGAATAATGAAATGGTAACTGGGCGTAAGGGTGAGGAAGAAGATTGGAAAGAGAGTAGGGATGATGCGTTGCCACCGATAGTCATTCCATCTCAACAACCGCCTCCTGCCTGAAAGTAATCTACATAGTTAAGAATAACGTACCAAGGGCAATACGCTTTAGTCTCCTTTGCATTGATGAAGCCTTAGGCATTCAGCCTGAAGAACCAGACTTATGTACACTAGAGAAAATCATCCAAACACTTATACTATCATGGTAACAACCGTGTTGACTTCTACTGACTTCATGTTTGTGTGCTTGCTTTTCCAATTCCTTAGAACTTTTGTATTTCTTCACAGCTATTACGTAATTTTCATCTTTCTCTTCGTTTCTATGTTTATCCTAATCACAAATCACTCATTAAACTATTCATCCTGTTACGTAACTGTTTCACGTGTTGATCGACATTATTTAACTACGTCACTTTGAGAACGCATCATCACTACCCTCTTTCCAATCTTCACCACCCACCAACACGCCCCAGTTACAATTTGATTACTGATCGCATTTTGGAAATGTCTTGACAACAATAACCCTAACTAATGTTCATTCTTATCGGACAAACCTGATGTACATACACATACAAAGTATATATATTTGCATTTATACATGTAAGTGAATGAATTTGCCAAGGAAAAGAGACTATTCATTGAAGAGCCTGTTTTGTCCTTTATTTATAAATTCACTTCCAGGTGTATAGACAGATTAATTGATACCAATAGTGGAATGTTTTCTGGAAGACGATATTTCTAAAGAGTTATTAAATTACATAAGCAATTCGAATGCACTTAATCTGAATAGAAATCTATTATTATCCATCATGAAACAATTATTAATGTCTATTCATGATGTAATTATTAATGAACGATTATTTCTCAATTATTTCACAAAATTCTTATTCAAGACTTAGGAATGCGATGAAGCTAACTCAAATTAAATGCGTGCAAAAAAAACGATTATGCCTCCAGAAGACAATGGTTTGTGACAGCTCAATGACCTTGGTCAACCATCAAGCGCACATTCTACGCAGCATCTCTTCCCCTCACATCTTGAACATTTTCTACCCATGTACCTACAACTAAAGGACGAAATTCTGTGGACTGTACTTCAAACTGTATCTACAAGTTCACCTGCAGCTGCGGTGACACCTATATAGGTAGAACATGTTCTAAGATGGTTATTAAGACACACTGAAAATCCCAATGCAACTAATTTGAATAGAAATCCATCATCATCATCATCCATTGCAAAGCAATTATTAATGTCATGTCACAAAATCAATATTAATGACAGTGTTACAGTTATTTCACATAATTCTTATTGAAGGTTATTCAAAGTGATTGAAGCACTTTGGATCAATTACATATATCATAAACTATGTGTAAAAAAACACAATAGAATTCAACCTTCCTTCGCCTACCATGAACTGACTACTTGACCGATTTAAATATTATTGGTCATTAGTGTATAACTTTGTCTTATGTAACTGAGTAATTGTAATGCATTTTATTTTATTATTATTGTGAAGCTTGTAAGTTGTAGAGAAACTAGGGAATTTGAACAAAGAAAAAAGAAACATTGGCTCAGAATAATCTGGACCCGTTTTATTTCGTTGGTTCTCATCAGCTACGTACAACCTGAATTCTTTAATAAAATAAAAATAAAAAGCTTACAATTTTAACAAAATTTTGTCCATCAGCAAGCATATTGTCACAGCGTCATAGTAAAATAAGGGGTTGCAATTTACAGGGTGTCTGAAGTATTACGACATATATATATATATCTTGTTAGAGAGAAGTTTCTTGAAAAAAAATTGATTAACAGTTGTGTTGTTGGCGTGATAACAAAACGAAAATTATTAATAGTTATGTAATTAGATAACAGAAGATCAAAATTTCAAAATTTCAGTCCACATGAGGTCAGATGAAAAGTCGATGATGTAATACAGTGAGCGGAACTCAGAAGATCAAGAAAAATAATCTCTTAAGAGAGTCAAGCGAAAAACAAAGGGAGGTGGAGTGAAAAGATAAGCTGACAAAATTAGGAAACAAAGAGTTACTAAGAGGTAAGTCACCAGTGTAACTGAAGCCCAGCAACGGACTCTTTTTGGACACATAAATCAGGCTTCAATCGTTTTATTTCTATAGCTTCAGAAAACCTGAGAAGACTTGAGGTACTTTGTTTGTTAATTATTTTGAATGATTGTGAGAGCAGGCTGCTAGCCGATTGGTTGACACTAATCTACGTTAATGTCAAGGTCACTAATATGGGCCGTGAGAAAATATGACAAGGCTGATTCAACAACCAATCACAGCAAGTTAACGTGGCAAAATATGATTCGCAATAGAGAACTCTATTGTCAAGGAATCCCGAAACAACCAATCAGAAGCCTGCGTTTTCTGCAACCAGTCAGATGACTGCGCTTTTTCTACTTGCATAAGCTATAATAATGTATGTGAAATATATATAAATACGTGTTGATTTTCATAATAAACGATCTGTTGCCTGGCCCTTGTCTTCTGTTGTTACACCAGCACATCTACTCGTTGTCCTATGTCATTCAGGTGTTTGGCGATTGAAGAGCTTAAACAATTCGGTCTCTTTAACCGGAGGTTCCTTGGTACATGTCCGCAGAATCTGACGTGGGCCCTCCTCTCTGTTCTTCCAATGTAACTGCTCTCGCAGATACATTTGGATCGGTATACACAGCTGGGGGTAATATGTGAGGGGTACTTGTCAATCTTTGACTGCACCAGTGAGGAGGTTGTTCAAGAAAGAGAGACCAATAACGCTGCAGAATACGTCCTAGACAGGGCTGCACTTAATCTTTTATTACCATTCTCATAATATCGTCGTCATTGTAGTCGAGTTTGATGAAAATAGGCTTCTTACTGACTGTAACTGTATCAAGCTTCTTGATTTCATTCTTGTCATATTTGTTAATGAAACTTTGTGGGTAACCATTTTCTTTCAAGCATTTCTCAAGAAGCGTTCGTTCACTGTCTAGTTTGTTTGGTGAACATATTCTCTTCGCTCTAGAGAAAAGCGTTTTCACCAGAGTTCGTTTGTGTATCTCATTGGGCAGAAGCTATTGAAACGCAAGTAAAGACCACTTCATGTGTCTTAACGATATACAGATCTTTCGAGTGTGCCGTTGTACGTCCAAAAAATGGAATTTTTCATCATCTTCATGCTCCATCTTGAAAATGATGCTTTCGTGTACATTGTTGAAAGAGTCTAACAGAGACAAAGCGTGACTCAAATCAATCAGTCAAGTGTCAAGCTAAATCAAACTGAAATCGAGGAACTTTCAGTCAGATTCGAGTTCCATGTACTAAGAAAATTTTGAATAAAAGAGACACAGAAGCCCAATTCGAGAATTTATTCAACCAGTTAACCAACTTATATCCCGTTAGTGAAGATATGAGAAGTTGGTTCAAATCAAGACTATTTGATATATCTAACCAGTACTTATGCTCATCAATTCAAGAGTTTAGAATCATGACGAAAGAACATGAAAAAGCAATTAAACGTCTGCTCAACAATGAAGATATCGTCATACTGCAACCAGACAAAGGTTCAGGCATGGAAGTCATGAACAAGGCTGAATATGTCCAAAAAATCGACAAGATATACAATTCCAGTTGATAGCAATGGGAAGTCCACTGGGTACAGTATTAGCTGATAATTTTATGGCCAGTCCGGAAGAGACAAAGCTGAAGTGTACAATTAGCGAAACAACAGCCTACTATAAAATAAGTTGATAACACATTCATTGTATGCAACGATTTGAGTCACGCTTCGTCTTTATTAGACTCTTTCAACAATGCACATAAAAGCGTCACTTTCATGATGGAGCATGAAGATGATGAAAAATTCCATTTTTTGGTCGTAAAGTTGAAAAGGAGTGTCCTGGGTTCGAGCTTCAGTACAGGCGAACTGATTAAGTGTCCCAAACTAGGCTGATGAAACAACTGGTTTTCCAATGCTCCACTAACCAATGTCACTTCATGATGAAATCCTGTAACCAATCAACCAAATCCAGTCAAACCAACACCTGAATACAACTTTTTTTTTCACAATAACTAATGTGACATTCTAAGTAAGAATATTTGTCAACCGGATAACTGACTATTATTATACTGAGTGAAATTATTTTATAACTGCAAGGACTTGAAGAAAATGTTCTCCTTTCAGACTGGCTTTCAAAACCTAATTTGTCACTTATATGTCTCTTTATTTCATACTGCCAAATCACTTGTTAAACATTATCACCCAGTTAGTTGTATTACAACTTATATTGGAACTACGAAATGACACTATGTCACAAATGGTTGTGGAATAAACTTCCAACGGAGTTTTGGGTGTTCATGTTGGTGATTTTTTAACATTTCAAACAAAACTTAACAGCTCAGGTGTTTTCAGTTTATTCCATTTACTTATAAAAAATCGATTTTAGGTATTATGATAACTGATCAAAGCAAAAATTTTTGTGACAGTAGTATTGACAGATAATTTTGTTTCTTAACAAGTACACATTTTAGTACAATACTGAAAATAAGTGAAATCTGTGTAAATATATTTACGGAATCATTTGCTGAGTTACTTTCCATTTTGAAAAAAATGTTTGTTATAAAAGTAAACTTACCCATTTAGGAATCTCTCTACAAAACTGTAACGGTTCAAAAGAGCTTTAGTGAGAAGGGTGCCTCTTCAGTAGAATCCAACGAATATGCACTCAAGACAAACTTGATGGGAAAGAAAGAAAGTTGGAACAAACTCTGGTTGATAACAATTATTCGGACAAGTTTATTAGGAGATATAAAGTATTCAGAACACTAAGATTCACTCCTCAACTCACCACTAAGTAAAATGTATATATCAAACTAACCTATATGGAGGATCACAGCAGCTTGGTAACTCGGCAAGTGTTGAACGCTGTGGTTAAAAAGACTTTCTTTGAGAATGTGAAGCCAAAATATGCAAACACCTTAGCACTTTGAACATGCGAAAAATGATGTCATATCCCACTGTATTAACCAATGTGAATATACATGTGCACACACATACATAGAAGGGAGCACTCATCGATCTCTGAATTTGAGGGCTTGATTCAGAGCACAATCCTAAATAGCTTGCGAAGCAAACAGAATAGACGGTAATCTTGATCCTCTATTGCGAAACATATTACAGAGGATATAGGACAAACAATTGACGTGTACACGTTTTTTAAACCTATCTATAAATTGTGTTTGGGGGAGGGAGTATCCTAAAGTTTGTGGAAGCCTTAGTTGGCAGTTAGGAAGTTGTATGCGTTCAAAGCAACAATTTGTCATCACACTAAACCATCTTCTATGGTAAACTTTGTTTTCATACCAGCCAGGATAGATGAACTATTACCTGGGTGAGTACTATTGAACACTCCCAAACAAGGACGAAACGGTTTTGCAGTACTCCACTCTGGTTTTATGTTGCTTCTATAACCGAAGTCAGTTTACAATGAAATCGCAACAGTCTAACACCTATCTATAGTTTATCTAGCCAGAAATATAGTTAAACATTATTTGCAATATTCTCATTTTCACCCGCTATCTTGGTAACTTATACTGTTTATGCAAATTTTTATCGGAAGTATAAATACGCAAAACATCATATATATATCATCCATGTTTTTAAAAATTAAAGCTTACCCATCCCAAGCTTTCTTTAGGAAACTAAAAATTTAGTAGGATAGACAAGTACCTTACTAATTAAAATGTTAGGTAATGTTTGTTTCGTATCCAGGTGAATTATCACTTATGATAGGATTCAACGTCGCTTATCCTACTTTGTAACCTCGCGTAGATTACTAGCTCGCTAGGTTTCTAGCCGGTCCCAAGACCGGATAAAAAGAGGGAGGGTTGGGGCGTGGTGCTAGCAACTCCACGCCCAAAACTCAACCAAATCGCTAGAGAAACTTCAATGCACCAATATATTAAAAATTTCAAAAATATATACAGTAACCTTATTTTTCGCTGGAATCGTGGAAGTGAAATGACGCAGGCTGGTGAAAGCCTTCGGGAAGCCAGTCAGCCGATGTGCCTTCTTTCGATGAAAGCAAAAATAAGGATGGGTACATGGAATGTTCGTACAATGTACGAAGCCAGCTGGAAAGGCTGCCCAGGTAGAGGCAGAAATGAGGAGATATAGAATAGAAGTGTTGGGAATCTGCGAGAGCAGATGGAACGGGTGTGTTAGGTGCCAACTGCTAACTGGGAGACAGTAATCCATTCCGGCCATCCAGAGGACAATCATGAGCACATCGAGGGAGTGGCCATCATGATGTCACCAACAGCAGTCAAAGCTCTCATGCAGTGGGAACCAATCTCCTCCAGGATAATGACAGCCAGGTTCAACTCAAAAGGAAGGAAAGTTACAGCCATTCAATGCTATGCGCCTGCAAACGTCTCAGAACAAGAGAAGAAGGAGGCGTTCTACAGACAACCACAAACAGTAATAGACAACGTCCCAAATGGCGATATCAAAATCCTCATGGGTGATATGAATGCGAAGCTGGGATGAGACAATACAGGAAGAGAACTCACTATGGGTCGTAAGGCCCTCGGTGAAATGAACGACAATGGTGAACTCTTCTCAGACTTCTGCACGTTCAATGATTTGGTGATTGGTGGCAGTGTGTTCAAACACAAGGATGTGCACAAGGTGAAATGGATTTCACCAGATGGACACACCAAAAAACCAGATAGACTTCATTTCAATCTCAAGAAAGTGGAGACGGAGCCTACTGGACACAAGGTGGAGGAGAAGAGCAGATGTGGGTTCAGACCACTATCTAGTACAAGGGACTTTCAAGGTGAAACTAAAAGCCTCGGGGATAGCTGGGGATAGGCCACAATGCAAGTTCAACACTCAATTACTGAAGGACACAACCACAAAAGACACTTCACTGCAACTGTCAGAGCAAAGCAGGAAACACTACGCGACATCACTGAAGAATCATGCGTGGAAGAACATTGGAAGTCTCTGAAGGCGATTCTCAACGAAACGTGTTCAACGGTTCTAGGAAGAAAGAAGAGACAAGACAAGGAATGGCTCTCAACGGACACTTGGAACCAATAGAGGAGAGGAGAATGGTGAAAGAGAAAATGATTCAATGCAAGGACGGACAAGAGAAAGAGACGCTGAGCTCAACTTACACAGCACTGGACAAAGAAGTGAAGAAGAGTGCTAGGAAGGACAAAAGACGATTCTACGACAACCTGGCCACTGAAGCTGAGAAGGCAGCAGGCAAAAGGGACCTGAGGACATTATATCAGATAACCAAATCTCTATCCGGGAAGAGATCAACACAAGCGAAACCTATTAAAGACAGCCAAGGGAACCCAATTACCAAGGAAGAAAACAGATTAAACAATGGGCGGATCACTTCAAAGGACTCTTGAACCGACCATCACCTGCAACCCGTCCAGAAATACCAACAACAGCGTGCACACAACTGCAAGTTGACACCAATCCTCCAACGAGAGCTGAAGTCTTGAACGCAATCAAGCTTCTGAAAGCTGGAAAAGCAACCGGACCAGATGGAATACCCCCTGAAGCACTGAAAGCGGACCCAGAGACTACAGCAGACATGCTGACTCCATTATTGCAAAAGGTCTGGAAGGAGGGAAAGGTGCCTACTGACTGGAGGAAAGGTTACCTCGTGAAACTACCAAAGAAGGGCGACTTACGCCTCACTCTGCAAGAACTGGCGAGGAATCATGCTCCTGTCGACGCCAAGTAAAATCCTGAGTCGCATCATCCTGGAGAGAATAAAGGACGCACTGGATACAGAACTCCGACCAGAACAAGCTGGATTCAGGAAAGGCAAATCATGTTCTGACCAAATTGCAACTCTACGCATCATCATCGAACAAAGCATGGAATGGCAATCAAACCTCTACCTCAACTTTATAGACTTTGAGAAGGCCTTCGACAGCGTTGACCGTGAAGTAATTTGGAAACTACTCGACTACTTATTCAACAGCTGTACGACAACGGCGGCACATGTCAAGTGATCCACAACGGAAAACTCAGCGAGGCGTTTGGAGTAAACACAGGAGTCAGACAAGGGTGCTTACTATCACCAATGATATTCCTAATTGTGGTGGACTGACTGGATTATGCGTCAAACAGTAGGAAACGAGAAGACAGGATATCCTGGACCGACGTGAAGAACCTAGAAGACCTGGATTTCGCGCGTGGATGATTTATGCTTAATGTCACACAATCGAAGACTTACAAGCGAAAACCGACAAACTGGTCGAAGAAGGAGCCAGTGAAGACAGGACTCCAGGTGAACATAGACAAAACGGAGGTTATGAAAATAACCAACCAACAATAACAACAACAAAAACAGCAGCAACATCCAGCGCCAATCACCATGAACGAGAGGGATTTGAAAGAGGTTACTTCATTCACTTATCTAGGGAGCATTGTCTCAACTACAGTAGTCGGAACGGACGAGGATGTCAAATCGAGAATCGAGAAGGCGAGAAACACATTCACTCATCAACCTGAAACCAATCTGGAGATCTTTGTCACTCAGCATCAACAACAAAATTCAGTCGGATTTTCAACAGAAACGTCAAGTCAGTTCTTCTATACGGATGAGAAACTTGGCGGGCGGGTCACAAAGAATATTTTCAACAGCCTGTTGCAAATTTTTATGTACTTAAGTTCTGTCTTCGCTCTATACTGAAAATCAGATTGCCGGGCCGGAATCATCATCAAGAAACTATGGGGAGAAACAAAACAAGAACCGACCGCTCAACAAATATGCAGGTGACATCGCGCGTCAGGCCAGAGCTCGAGTGGAACTCGAAAGGGAAGAGGCGAGTGGGACGTCGAAGGGTGACATGGAGGAGATCGTGTGAAGAGGAGTTGAAATAGTATGGACTAACATGGATGCAGGTGGAAAGTACAGCAGAAGATAGAAATAAGTGGAGACGTGCATTTGAAGCCGTGTGTTCCACTAGGAACCCAAGGGAACAATTATAATAACAAGGTCCTACTTTGTAGGAAACACCGAAAAGTATCATTAGTCTTCTGAAATTGTTTAAGACTCAGTAAAGTGTTTAACAAAGAAACTGTTACCAAGTTGAAACACCCTGTTTACATTTCACCAGTAGACATTTGACACAGATATTGTCTGATCTATGAACATGATAATTATTCTGTTCATCAACATTTTACAGGGAACCATAAGAATTTAAAATTTGACTCATTGTTGCATAGAAATCTCAAAAGTGTTTATTCTCACCTCCACATTGTTGGTGGTAAATGGTCAACTAATACGGACGTCATTTTGTAAAGATGGAACTGTGAAATAACTACTGAATTTTGTAGGTTTGAAAGCGAATGTCTTTCTGCCTGCCTCACTATAGTCCAGTCAGCATATATGAAACGTATTCACATATCAGACACCTCACTTTTATCAACTGTTGTTAAGGTTTCTGAATAATATTCAATATTCTTTTTAATTAATTTCAAAACTCCGAGCATGCGTTAAAATGTGTTACGTCATATATGCGACTTCGCTATTTGAAATCACGTAAAAAACTAAATCACCTGTTGTCCTTCTAGAGTCAGAGGATAGAACTTACGTAATCACATATCGAAGAATGATGAATGCTAATTCATTTTTTGGCATGCATTCATATTCAGGCAACTGAGAAATAAATACTCAGTGGTGCATATTCTAATGTAGGCATAAAATACAAAGACATGTTTTTCATTTCAATAAAGTTTCTAAAGCTTATTTGTTGTTCATCAACAAACACTGAACAACTGGTGTATTCCTTACTAGGGAGTAACCGATGTCAAGAGTCAAGTCCTCGGTGTTGATGTAGTCTGAACTCTGTCTGTCAAATTTACAATGTGGTCAACAAACTAGATGTCTGGCTAAGCCATTGCTATGCATTTTGAATTGACGTTAGATAGCTGGAAGTTGTTATCGTACACCTAGGTTTCGTACTTGCTAGCTCTCGTCATTAAGGTGTGCGTGCAACCTCGATCGTGGGTGTGTGAATATCTCTAACTGTAGTACTGGTTAAGACACATTCGACTCTGAGTGGGGATTTGAGTTCCTTCAGCGTTGCAAATACACTTAGATGAAGAATGTCACAAAGTTTGAAATCTAGCTCTTGTAGGGCTTTCTAGAGATGAATTCAAACCATCTACCATTCTGTAATCACCATAATTATCACCATTTACTGCTAAAATGAGTATAAATCATTCTGTTAAACACACTAGACTGACAGTAATTGATTTTTGTAAATACTAAAATGATTTGGTCATAAAGTTTCTTAAAAAAGATCCCATGACCTGTGAACTACATTATTTGAAAATAATGTAAACTATGTCATCTAAATGAACTTACCTTGCATCACCTTCATTTAGGAAATAGGAAGAAGAGGAGAAGTGTATAAAAGTATGAAAGACATTCAAGACTAGAAAGACTTGGATTCATCCAAAATTTAGACCAAATATAATTACATATAATTAGGATGATATGGAACTCACTAACCCTTAGACTATGAATTGTAAACTATTTCCCGATACGAATTTTAGACAAGCAATAAAGGTTATTAAAGCAGGATTTATTAACCTTAAACTATGACTTATATACATAAACCGCTTGAACACACATGCACTTACATGATCCTAATAACAGTGATGTAATGACTACAATCAGAATATAATTTGTAGCTCTAGGCATTATTCAACCTTCTGAATGTAGTCTCTACAACTCACTTTATTAAACATTGACTTATAAGTAGTCAAGTTCACTTATATATGTGTATAACCTCAGTTATACTCTATTTAGAAATCGATTCACAAACATTGAATTTTTGTTTTTTGTACTCTGGAGGCTAGAACACATTTCATATGAAAACAGACAGACATACAATTACAAATGCTTACAAATAAGATACAATTTGTTAGAACTTGTTATAGTATGATCACATGTAACTAAACTAGAAAAGTGTTCAATCTTAATTTCCACATTGTGTAAACGAAACCGTTGAGTACTATGAAGTATGTCTGAAATCCTTCACCCATAATTTCATCTTGTGTTTGTTTAAAACTCGACATTACAAACTTGATACCATTGTATGCTTACTAGTTAAACCTATTATCATCAACGAGTGTCACTGGAATTATATTCTTTCCTACTATAAATATATATCTACATCTATATGTCTAAATTCATTGTGAATCTGTGATGCAAAGATGAATGCGTCGATAATGTTTAATTTATGGTGAAACTAATCATCCTTGATGATATCACTTAATCAACAATATGCATCTCCAGAAAATCTTCTCATCCTTACTGTTACAATCTGCAACAAAAACAGTAAGTACTTTGATAATAAATGTGAGTCAGTTTTTAATGGAATTAATTCATTGATACAAAAAGAAGTTTGTAATATCAATAGCAATCTAAATATCATCACGAATTGACATCATTCAGAGAAACATTGAAAATCAAAGAGGAGTGAAAAGCCGCCTTTTTCTTAGTTTGTAAATCTTCAGCAGTAGATGGGCATATACACTTCATTCTGTCAGCGATTGGCAGTAGCTCTACATTAACGAATTATCAGAAGCAGAAATTCATAGTTTATCGAAATCCTGATCAACTGACTGACTGCTTTCAACGTAGAACTTTGCAGAGATGTGCAGCAATTCCACTTGCCATTCTCTCTCCTCGTGGCACACAAAGCAGGAGAAGAGAAAGAGAGAGAATGAACAGAGCAGTATTATAGGAGAACAAAAGAATTTTGATTGAATACCATAAATCACAAAGAGTGAATGCATATGCGCCAACCACTGAGAATGGCGATTATGAGCCATATCATCGAATTCCTACCAAGTGGATGCATGGCCAAAGAGATGGTTTCAAAACTTGAAGGTCTTGAGTATGATCCGTTATAGAATCCCTAGAACAATACTGGCTGTTGTTGAAATCCACATGAAAACTAATCGAGACCCTTAAGCGAAACAAAAAAATATATCAGTGAATTCCTAATTAATTTACTTTATTGAAGCATTTGCATGCTGACTGGAGGTATTAGTTACTTTTCCTTCTCTTTAAATGCTCACATTTTCTTGAATTATGAAATGGCAGAAGTTAGAATTCAAGGACCGTTGGATCGGGTCCCAATGGCTTAATGGTCCACGAGCTCACCTTGTAACCGGAAGGTCCTGGGTTCGAATCACGGTGGGTGCGTACTGCTGACGAGTCCCAAACTAGGACGAAACAGCTGTCCAGTACTCCCAGGTTATCCAGTGGTTCTCTAACTGATGTCAGCTCACGATGAAATCCTGAAAATTATTCTTCATTCAGGTAATGGTTTTGTACGGATTTTGTTTGATTGGTTGGATGATTTCATCGTTAGCTGACATCATTTAGGGAGCCATTGGAAAACCACCAAAGAGTGCTGTACAGCCAGCTGTTTCGTCTTAGTTTGGAGCCCTTCAGAAGTACGCATTCACTCCACAGCCAGGGTTCGAACCCAAGACCTTCTGGTTACAATGTGAATAAGCTCGTAGACCGTTTGGCCAATGGGACCTAATCCAATTGTCAGTCCATGAATTCTAACTCCTGCAAAATCATTACATAACGCGACCACTTCGTAATGTCTTCAATGAATAACTGTCCTCACCTTCGACCTCCTGTATCTCACTAGTCATCAGTTCCCATTTGAACCTCGGGTTAACTGCCTGAATAGTGCCAGTGAGCATCAGATTATTATCTACGTTCCTATCAACTCTCACATTTTGTGACAACACTTTTATCACCGAACTTCTATTGTTTTTCAGTGTTGTACATTCATGATTATTTTAACAGTTAAACGACAACTTAATGGCAGAAATATGATATTCACTCAAAGTATTATAATCATCTCCTATCCAACAAACAGACAAATACTGTCTCAATATGATAGAAAACTACACAAACAGTGTTACGGCTCGACGAATCATTTCGACAATTTGGAATGAATAATCATTTCTTCACTGGAAGATATGCAAGTGAAAAGCAACGAATTGGCAGAGAAGCATCAAAGATAGGCCTTTAGGTGAACATAGATAAAACAGAGATGATGGAGACTCCTAGCCGACAGTAACAGCAACAACAACAACAGATGAAAATCAGCCAGCATAAATGGGAGAAATCTGAAAGAAGCAACCTCCTTTACTTACTCATCTACCTGAGGAGCATCGTTTCAACTACAAGCGGACGGAACTGATGAGGATATGGGAGCAAAGACCGGGAAAGCAAGGCAAGATTTCATTACTCACAAGTCTGTATGGAGGTCAACAGCACTCAGCACGCAAAATAAGATCAGGATTTTCCACTCTTTGGGAAGTCAGTGCTACCTACTATACTAGTCAGAGACTGGATCCAGTAAATAATACTGTTTCACTGTGTGATACATCTAATAAACAAATTTATATGGAATTACTACTAAAATGCATTATGAACGTTCAATTTGTGTTTATTAAGGAGTATTACCGCCAAATAGATGAGGCTGCTGTGGGTTCTCCCCTTGGTTCCTTAATAGCTGAAATATTTCTAAATTGGAAAATGGTCCTTTAAAAGAGATACTAAACCAACTCAATTATTGTCAGTATGTTGCCGATACGTTTATCATTTGTAACAATAATTTGGATAGACAACATCTTCTCCAAAACTTCAATAAAGTACACCCAACTATTAAATTAACTTGTGAAGAGGAACTCCCAGGTAGTATTCCATTTCTGGATGTTCTTCTTACAAAGAGAACAGACGATACCTGAAAAAAACATCTACAGGAAAGCGACGTGGAACGGACAATACACCCACTTCCATAGCTTCATAGCTGTACAATATAAGCGCAACCTAATTCGTTGTCTTACTCATAGAATTAGACGCATATGTACCGAGGATTGTATTGAAGATGAAATAAGAAATCTTACGATCTTACTTGTAAAGAAGTATATCTATGAAACTACACATAAAACTAAGCGAGACATAGTAAGTAAGAAAAAGCTTTACTTAAATGTACAATTCAAAGGCGATATATCCAGCGATATATCAAGCCGTAGATTAACGAGATCAATTGAAAGAACTTTTAATGCCACAAAACTGCATGTCAGTTTCTCAACCAAACCGATATTGACACCATGAATTAAAGATAGATTGCCCAAAATGGCGACATCAGTGTGTGTTTATAAATTCAACTGCTCCTGTGGAGCTAGTTAAATAGGTCGTGCCCAAAAGAATTTATCTTAACGCACTCGTGAATATATTCCTGCTTGGCTTGGGAAAAGAGCAACCAAATCATTAAATAGTGCTATTCTGTCTCATCTAGTGGATAGCGAACACACCATCAAAGTAGATGAGTCATTTAGAGTTGTGTATCGAGTACCGAACGATCTCCCCAAATGCACACAATTACGCCTCCTAGCCATAGCTGAGGCTTTAGAGACTAATAGAGAGAGACCAGACCTATGTGTACAGAAAAAACCCATCCACTCCCTTTGTCTACCCTGGCCCACTATATGGTCACCAGGATCATAATTTTTCGTACTATTATTATCATTTAATTGGTGGATGGTGGCTAGCAGTGGAATCCAGGATAAAGCGCATTTCGTCCTATTTGGGACTCGTCAGCTGGATGTACCTGCATTTCTCAGTGAGTGATGATGTTCCCACCGAGGCTCGAACCCAGTACCTGAGACCGAGCACTTCGGTCCAATCAATCGACGGGAAAATCGAAAACTCAGTCCAATAATTTTCTTTTACTTCATTAATATCTTTCCTTATCGTGAATAGCTTTCGTATAATTTCACGTAGGTTTTCTTTGATGCGTATTTTTGAGGCATGTGTGAGCGCTGCATTTGCTTTGTCAGTAGATACTGGTGATTGTAATTTCATGTATACAAGAATAATTCCATTTTTAAGGCATCTGATGATGAAAATTCGATGGTTCATAAAATGAGATTCAGCTTGATATAAATGTGTGAGTTTGTTGGCCAGTCTTTTAATGGGAAGACCGTCCAGTTGAATTAATATCAGTAAAAAGTTTGAGAAATTCTGGATTAGATCAAATAAAGTATAATTATATTTCAAAAGTTTACACACAATGACAAGTTTTGTTATTGGTTATATTTCGAGCAAAATTACTACCCGTGTTCACACCACTGTTGGAATTGTTTTATTCACACATTTAAGGTACGTGTTCAAATTGCGTACATGAAATGGACAATTCATCAACTTTCAAAGCTTCGTGCCCTTAAAGAGAAATGGGAACCTGATATAGGCTCTTTCTTCGGGGATTCGGAATATATGCATTGAGGAAGTGACTGACGAAAAACTGCGCGATCTCCGAAGAACCCTAATGGAAAACGGTTTTCCACTTAGGTTCATAGACAAGAGTCTCAAATCAAAGAATACTTCCGAAAAAGCCCAATCCGTCCCACAGAACACACTTCTGCTTAATCTAGAATTCAAAGGCGACATTGAATCAGAAATCCTTCGTAAACGCCACTCCAAATCTCTGAGGAAAACACACTTCGCCGCTAGCCTAAGAATGTAGTTTTCCTGCAAAAAACTGTTCAGCCAGAATGCGAAAGATAAGCTGACGCATTGAGCCACGTCAGCGTGCACATATCAGTTTACTTGCTCTTGCATAGCTGAGTGCATCGGCCGTACCATGCGCTAGCTAGAAAGAC